TTGGACACTTAGGAGAGAATTAGGTTTAACTAACCTACCTTGACTTAGTGTTTAAAATAATTTTAGCACTTTTAAATTATAATTGAAAAATGCTTATAAAAATATTATTTTTTATTGCATTCTTTGCTAATAGTTAGGGGGAGTTTATGATCTTTAGTGAAAAATTAATTGTATGTTCAAATAAAATTTAAGGATAGTTTTATTTGTTTGAACATTGTTAATTTTCGATCTTTGAGTTGCCAATACCACTAGAGCTTAATTAATTTAGCATTTTGAGTGTTTAAAAACGGATTTTAACATTTTTGTGCTATATACATTAGTACACTATGAAAGTGTACCAATGCATCCCTTGAATATGCACCGATACACTATGAAGGTGCATCGATGCATGCCTTGAATGTGCATCGATACATTTTGCAGTGCATTGATACACTCGTCGGGTTTTAGGCTTATAATCCCTAAAATTTCATTTTTAGCCAAAACCTAAACACCCAAAACACTCTATTGTCGCCTCCTCTCTCGCCCAAATCTTCACTTTGCCTCAAAATCATCGTTTCAAGTCAGAATCTACTCGATTTTCAACTCCTAAACCTGTTACATTCATTAATTTCGTACAAACAACATCACATTCTCACAAAATCCAAATTTTCAAGGTAATATTTCAAAAACCCTTGTTTTATTGATTTTTGAACTTAGGACTAGTTTTGATTACTTCTAGGTTGAACTATATATCGGACATTTGTTAGATTATAGTTTAGAACTATAATCTACAACTAATTTCATCAAAAACACACAATTTTTCCAAAAAAAAATTGGAATTCTCAAAATAAAAAAAATCAAAAAATTATTGTTTTAATTTTAAAATTTGATGTTTTTGATTTAATTAGATTGTTTTGAAAATTACATATTGTTATTCAAACGTTGTTTTCAAAAATTAATTTTCAAACTTTGCCCATTAGGATTTATTTTAGAGAACATTGAAATATTGAGGACTCATTTGAGTTTTGGGATTCATATTGTTGAATACATATGTTTTTAAAATTGCAGGTATCTATCATATTCCTATTTCTTGAACCATGTCTCACTCTAAACGCCCTAGGTCATCATCTAGTCGTTCGAGTCAAAATCGACCTCCTATTCCACCTCCACCTCAAAACCAAACCCAAACGCTCCCAAATTGACCATCCTTAATTCTTGTTTTAACCAACCTGATTGTCGTAGAGAAGATCTCTACCATAGGTTTGTTAATTCATTTCAGTCATTCAAAATCTGGGAAAAACATATCCCTTCTATCCAAGTAATGGTCGATATAAATTTCGAATATCTTCTTACCCTCCGTTCTTAGAAATTTGATAAAATGTTTGAACTCCAGCCCATTGTTTATCACCAATTGGTCCGTTTTTTCTATTCTAATGCGGTTTGTGTTCAAAACGAGCGTCAAACTGAAACCATAGAAATTCGATCATGTCTCTTAGGTGAATTCATTTATATTGACTCCGACACAATCGCTAATGCCTTTGGGTTAGAACTCATCACGAGCGATTCCTTCAGTTGATGATCTCTTGGTGGTTTAGACCATCCGGAGGTAGGTACTCTTCTCTTAGAGTCTTAGATTTATGGTGGATACATTGTATCAAACATAATAAGAAAATAAATTTGCCACAGATCATTTTCGGTGAACTAGTAGATACCGTAAATGTTGTCCCATCAAAAAATGTCGAAACTTTAGTTTACGGTTGTCTCCTTAGTAATATGTTTATCAAACTCAGGCTTAAGGTTTCGCTTGATATTCTCATCCCTCTTCAGAACCAAATAAATTTCACATCTTTAAAGAAATCGGGATGGAAGGAGGACAAGGGTCAATGGGTTCGATCCATTGAGAAAACACCGGGAGGTAGCTCTTCACGAGCTCCTCCGGCACCGGCATCGGACGATGATCCAGAACTTCAAGAGCTATTTCAAGATATCGACGATCACGTACCCGAGGACGAGCTGACACGGCAAGAGGATCCAATGCCTCCATACTTTAGCTCTTTCATAGAGACATTGGATATGAGGTTTACATCATTAGAGTCTCGCTTGACTGCTATGGGGACTCAACAATTGGAGAATCAACGAGAGATTCGAGCTAACCGTGATGCAATGAATAATCGATTCAATGTTGTGGATGATAGACTCGATGCGTTTACACGAGATGTGGCTAATATATGGGCACATCTATTTCCTCCCGATCCTCCTACGGATGCTTAAACTTCGCTTGCTAGTTTTCTTAGGGTTGAATCATAATGGATCCTAACATTGTTTTAAAACATTTTGATGTTTTTGGATTGATTTTGGATGTTTGAATATGGATGTTTGGATGTTTGAACTTAAATGTTTATATTTATATATATTTGATTTGGTTGAATTTTTAATTTGAGCTTAATGTTTATTAGTTTTTGCATCATATTAGTTGAAATATGACCAATTACCATTGCACATTATCTATGAATATTGATTTATGAAACTAATGACTAATCTTTTTCTTGATTGTGATCTTAGCAGTTTAAGCTTCAAATCTAAATATCAATTGGCTAAATTTTCAAAACCTTATTTTATAGTCTTTTTTATTTAACAAAAAGGGGAAGTAATTTTCAAAATTGATTTCAAAAATGATTTTCAAAGAAAATCTTAAAATTACTTAAATGTTTTGTTATATCAAAAAGGGGAGATTGTTGAAAACATTTTGATGTTTCGATATAACAAATTAAGTGTTATTGAATTTTAAGATTTTATAATCATTTTTAAAAATATATTCGATTAAATTATTCGAATATCACAAATATTACTCCAAGTTTATCAAAGGTCAATTTCAAACCTTACTAAAGTGTAAAAGTATGTTTTAAACTTAAAATATTTTTGAAACAATTTTTACAAAGTATTTCGAACCAAAATCGAGCCAAAAATCAATTTTATAAAGGGATGTATCGATGCACACCCTATTTCGAATGCATTTTGTGTACCGATGCATAACCATGCATCGATCCACTCTTGATTTTATTGAAACATCGAATGCATTTTGTGTACCAATGCACAGACCATGCATCGATACACTCCTGGCTCTTTTGAAACATTGAATGTAATTAGTGTACCGATGCACCCCAAGTGTATTGATGCACTAGGTCTTATAACAGTCAAAATATTTGAATTTTACATATAGTGTATCGATGCACCCTGAGAGTGTACCGATGCACCTATGCTCCCAACTAGATTTTTAATTGTTTTCACACCATAATGGCTCTATTGACTTCACCAATGATCCCCAACATTCAGAAGTGATTCAAGTTGAATTTTAACAAGCTTAGAAGCCATTTATCAATAACAATTGTGAGAGAAACAAAGAGAAAGCCTTAAACATCAAGTTTGAGCAAATTCAAGCCTATTTTCCATTCAATATTCATTTTGCTTTCAAGAACACCCTTTGTACTCAATTGTATTATTTAGTGCTCTTTTTTGTTCTAGAATTGTGCAAACATCTTACCTTGTGAGGTTTTTTAAGTTTGTGAAATTTGTATTATTTCTCTTTGAGAGAGAGAGTTCTCAAGAATTTGGGGTATAATTATTGAGGGATTTGTAAGGTTACTCTTTGTCCTCAAAAGAAAGACAAATTAGTGAATTTGTGGAAAATCCTTAGTGTGGATAGCTAAGGTAGTGGACGTAAACTTTGGTTGAGAAAGTCGAACCATTCTAAATCGCTGTGCAATTATTTTCTATTTTCTGCAAAAGCTTCCACCAAAATTTTAATTGCCAATTCACCCTCTCTTGGCTATTTCGTCGATCGATTAACTCAAATAGTGTCCAATTCAGAGATTCTGGGGGCCACATCTTCGATAGACTAGAACGAGCGTGAGCTCTGAGATGCATAAATCCCTTAGCCGCATCATGATGTCTACCATAGCGTAGAGAGTGAGTATCACAATGATACTAATGATTTTAATTGGATAGATTCATAGTACTTTTATCAGTTGTTAAAGCATGATATTAATGAGATTTTTTTGTATGTTTTAGTAGTTAGTATGACATTGGGCTAGCTAGCTCAGTGTTTGGAATTTGTTTTCTTATGCAGATTCTTAGGTGTACCACTTGAAGAACTTTTGTGCGGAGTATATCCAGACTAGATTCCAGGGCAGAGTACGTCTGAAGTCCTTTAGTGGGCATGCATATTCGAAATCCCTATGTAGTATACTTTAGTTATGATTTGTTTTGAATAATGATCTGTATATTTTGTTTACAATTTATGGGAGCTCCGAAATATAAATTGTTTTGTATGAAAGTTGTTGTCTATTTTATTAAAAGAAATTATTAATGAATTCCATTGAGTATGATAAAGAAAAATATTTGGTTAGCCACTTCGGTGGTTCCATGTGGCACTCTTATCGGTCGACTGTGTATCGTACTGGTATAGGGCATTACATGTCTAACTATGATTAGATAAATTTTAAATAAAATAAAAACTAAAAATTATATAATTTAAAATGGTTCTTTATAATTTTGAAAATTTTAACAAAATTTTAATCATTTTTATGATTTCGTGTATCATGTTTTCAATTAAACCCTTATTCGCACTCTAAATGTAAATTTAAAAAAAAATTGTGTATAATTTTCAATTAAGTATTTTAAATATTTTTACGTTTTGACTTGTAATTGGACCACAAATTTTGGAGTTAGAATAAGAGTTAATTTTGCATTTAGATTTCATAATTGTTAAAAGATTTATGTGACAATCCACAAAAATGTTTTGAGAGATATAAGTTAGCAATAGAGAGGAGCTTAAAAATTTTAAAATTAAAATATTTAAGTACAATAATTTTAGTGTTTTGGACCGAAATATTAACTTTTCAAACATACATGGACTAACTATTCTTTTATATATAGATGGACTAAAATTAATAAAAAATTTAAATATGATATATGAACTAAAATATTCTTTTCTATAATAGAAAGAGTAAAAAAGCATATACCTGGATGCTGCCCTGCTCTATGTCTCGATCCGGCGTTATTTCACTAGCAAGGTCCATTTGCTGTAAAAAAGTATGGGATAATTCATTTTTTATTCCAAGACTAATATATTCTATCATCACAATCAATACTTAATGGTAAAAAATATTACAAAGAAGATCATACGAGAAAAATAAATAAATAACACATCCAAAAAAATTAGAATAAAACAAAGATGTATATAGGTGTGTTTGTATCAACAAACTAATAACAACAAGAAATCAAACTACTTAAATATCCTTGACTATCGAGACACTATCAACTTAGCTTAAGCACTGAATCAAATTACTTGGTGACTCCTAAATTTTAAGATTATAAACAAAATTTAACATACCAACCTACTACAGCGATAGATCCCCACCGACGATTGATGGTTTTTCAGAACGAAAATGGATTGGGGTCTTAGGATTGTGTTAAGGAAGAAAAGAAAAGGAGTAGGTAAAGGCAAAAGAAGGAAGAAAAGATATAAGGTCAACGCAAAAGAAAAGTAAATGATATCGGCTTCTAAGAAGTAATGGCAAAATGAATCTTTTAAAGGGCTTTTTTCAAAGGAAATGAACAAATGAATAAATATCATTATTTGATATATAAATTGTATAAAAAAAATATATAATTTTATATATTTAAATTTTAAAATTTAATATTAAAATCTTTAAATTTTTTATGCAAATAGAAACAATTAATTTTATTAAAAAAATAAGAAATATTCAAAATTACAATGAAGGTTTACACCCATAAATGTAAATTAAGCATATAATTAGGATCTATTCCTATAATCATTGACACCAAAATTAACCATCTAAGATCATACATGAACTATATAAAAAAATATTAGAAACTCAAACAAAAATTAGATATAAACAAATTTAACTGAGTTAGCAAACGAATCACAAAATAAAGATCAAATTATTAAAAGACAAATCGCAAATCAAAGTCGATGGTCATTTGATTATTTGATAATCTAGTCCTATAATAGACTTGTTTGATTTATTGACCAGTTTACATTTTGGTTGCGTAACTTTGTTATTTGCTATTTTCATCCTTTATTGCAGTAATGAATATAAGCATGGATTATTGGCAATAGATTTGATTTTGTTTATAATTAATGATGTTTATATATTTTAATGTGTGATATGTGCATTGTCTTGTATGCATGATTGAATTATATCATTATACTTTAGTCTCGGCCTTAATTAATAAAATTAATATCACATTTTAGTTATTAATCAATTTAGTATAAAAATCATTTATCACATGTCATGTTAATATGGGTAGGTTTAGTAACTTAAAATATTAAGAATTTAAAAATTCCTTTGTAAAATATATGACCATAAGTGCATGTGTATGTATTATTTTAGACTTAGATGTTTGTTCAAATGTATGGCATTATCTAATTAGTTTTTGTATGGTATCTGTCGTAGCCGTCTTTCGCCCGGAGGGAGAAGACCGATATCGACTCGGGGATTTTCTCTTTAAAAATTATTTTGAAATATGAAGAGTCGCCACCAATCATTTGAGGTGAATTGGAACACCGTAAAATTGGGTGATTTTAATAAAACATCTTATTTTTATCAAAATATCAAGTTTTGGGGTCTACGAAATCCAGAAATCAGGTTCGGGAGTCGGTTACGCGTGGAGAATGATTAGCACCCCCCACAAGCGCCCAAAAATTGGTACCTAGTTGATTACCATATATTTAAAATCAGAAATTTAGAGTTCGATCTTTATTTAATTTAAAAATCAAGAAAGATGCAAAGTTGAAAAGTGTATTCGTTTATCGAGATAGATAGCATTCGCCCCCGAGCGTAAATGCGGGAGATCAGCTATTGTGCCTAATAACCGAATATTGCCTCATTTTTAGAAATCATGATGTGGTTTTGAAAAGGATGTCGACTTATTCAAGGAATTACCAGTATTCACCCCTTGAGCACGATCGCGGGAGATATACTATTAATTCCTTAATAAGTGAATAGTGCCTTAGATTTGTAAAAACAATGCAATCAAACAAAATTTTATTTGTCCTAATTAAACTAAAAGTAAATTAAGGCATTTTTTAACCTACTTTGTCAAATTATGAAAATTAAAGAACATAGGGGCTCAAATCTAAAAACGTATGTTTTAATATTAATCCTATTTGATTTTAATTTGATTTATGATCCCATAAAACAAACATCAAAGGTATTATTTTATACCAGTAATCATTTAAAATACCTTCCTAATTAGTTAATAAGATATTTCATGTTTTATTGTATAAAATAATTTAACTTAACACATAATAAATTTAATGATTAAATCAAGAAAATATAAAAATTCAAAGTCACTATTGCGATGTTTTTCTTAATATATATATATATATATATACCTTAAAAAATAAAGTAAAAAATAATAATAAAATACCGAGCTTATTAAAATATTGAATAAACTACCATGATGTATGCAACATGTATAGCTTTGTATTTAAAGTGAGAAATAATAAATGTAAATTATAGGATGCATAGTCATATATAGAAAAGTATAAAACACATTAACCATATGAACAAATTAATTGAAAATTATCAACTAAATTTATGGCATAATACATGCATGCATATATATATATATATATATACATACAAATGAGACAAATATATAAACAAATTACACCCAATAGTCAAACAAGTTGATGCCTATATTAAAGATATAATAAATTATAATAAGGAAACAAAATTATAGGTCACAATCAAATTGACAAAAAATATATTTTGTAAACATGAAAACACCTTATGAATCACGTGAAAGTGTAAACATATTGAAATTATATGTTCCATACATATCTTCATATATTATAATAAAACATAATATAAAATAAAGTGGGTCATATATACACGTACGCATAGCACTCACACATGAAAACCAATTGATTTATACGAGTTTAAAAGGAGGGAAACAATGATTAAAGTAACGAAACAACAAGTTAGGGGGCCTAGAACCTAATTTACCATTCACTTCAATGACTAAAAATTAAATTACCCTAAAAATGTAATATAAATCCTACTTTTACACTTAACATAGACTAAGCAAGCCCCAGCCGTTTCTATTCTTCATCCCCATCTCTAACTCTTCTTCCTTTTCTCGACCAAAAGCCATAAAGTTCTACACAACTAATAGCCATCATGGCTCCAACCAACACCACATGGCCAACCACCGCATCATGGTGGCCACGATCCTCTTCAACTCTAATCTCACTCGTTCTTTCTCTCGGCGATAACCATAAAGCTTCACTCACGCAACCGGCAAGCCACCATTTCACGGTGGTCACTCTTACCCGAACACCCACAAATCATCCCTAACTTAGTTCTCAACATCTACGTTCTAAGGCCAACCAAATGAGACCCCCACCGAAACCAAACGGCCATCGCTGCCTTTCATCACCCGAGTCTCTCCACTGCTTCAATTCCAGTGGCCATATTCTCAACTAAGGTAACTCTACCACTTCCCCTTTTTATTTCATTTCCAAACGAAGACTTGCATCTTTGGAAACTTTAAAAAAACGAAAATAGGAAATGACAACTTTTTGAAATCTTTTGCTTTGGTATAATTTCTGATCTGTGTTAGTGTAGCTCTTAATTCTGTTCTGATTTTAGTGCTAGGGTCAGGTAAGATCATCGATGGTTGTGGGTAGAGTTAAAGAACAGGGGGTTTTCTAATGGGATTAATTATTCCTAGAGAAGGAAGCATTGATAATGAGGGGGTTTTTTCTATGGATTTTGAAAAGAATGGGACGTATGGGAAGGGAATAATAGCAGTTGAAAAATGCATTAAGTACAACAGGATTCTTCTCCAATATATATTATTTGTTTGTTTTTTTTTAGTTTCCAAATGACACAAACACATACTCAAAAGATACTGGAAAATGAATAAGCCGATTACCTTAATACTAATTTTTATTGCTTTCAAAAACGATAGAGAAGACCCCTGTTACACTGTTTGATTCTAAAGAGGAAAACAAATATATCTTCTTGTTTGAACAATTGCTTTTTCTCAAGAAAAACAAAAGGTGGATAATCTTTTTTTTTTCAGAAATCTTTTTCCCTTCTGTTGGTGAGTTCCTCCTCTCTTTTGTTTAGCTTTTGGTCTCCTTTTTATCTCCGAGAGCCTCTCCTCTCCTGTTCGAATGATTTTGATTCTTCTTCTTCACCAAATCTCATTTGTCGTTGCATGCCAATTTCTTTGTGTTTGGTGAGACTTTGATTGGAGCAGGTAAAGTGTATGTAAATTCATCTCGAAATTTTAGGGATTATGTTGGATTTGTTTGACTTTGATTCCTTGATGATTTTGTTGATTTGTGCAGATTCCACGTGAGATGTTGAAGATGATATTTGAGACGATCAAGGGTCGAGTCTTTGCTGGACACAAGTCTTAGTCTTAAACCGAGTTGTAGCTTTTAATGAATTATTGTATTTTGGGTCCAGATTTGTTGGGCTTCGGGTCTTGTACAAGCCTATAAAATATATATAATTAAATAATATTAATATTAATAATAATAATAATAAAATATTAAAAGACGAGACAAAAAAAGAGTGTTGACAGCTGCCTCTCTTTGCCCATTCTTGTGTCAACAAATATGGCAAAGATAAAAAGACAATGCGTTTTTTCGTCTGGTCAACTTCATGGTCTGAAATATGATGAGGGATCTGTTCCGCTATTATTCAGGGAATATCAGATTTGGGGATGTTGGTTTATTGAATCAGGGTAGAATTGTTCTGCTGTCACTTAGGGAATATTAAATCTTGAAAAAGAGGAATCTGTTCCGCTTCCTCTGAGGGAATATCAGATCTGGGAAAGTTGATTCATTGAATTAGGGTAGACTTGTTCCGTTGTCGAATATCAAATCTTGAAAGAGAGGGATCTGTTCCGCTTCCTTTGAGGGAATATTAGATCTGAGAAAGTTGATTCATTGAATCGGGGCAGATTTGTTCTGCTGTCACTCAGGGAATATCAAATCTTGAAAAAGAGGGATATGTTCCGTTTTCTTTGAGGGAATATCAGATCTGAATTTGCTTCATTACTCTTTTGTGAAGGCTTAAGATTGATTTGCTTCACTACTCTTCGGTGAAGGCTTTAGATTGCCCGGAGGACTTAATCATCATGCTTGAAAGGCTTAAAGATGACCCGAAGTATTTAAGCATCATGCTCGGAAGACTAACTGATGACCCGAAGGATTTAAGCATCATGCTCGGAAGACTAACTGATGACACGAAGGATTTAAGCATCATGCTCGGAAGACTTACTGATGACCCGGAGGATTTAAGCATCATGCTCGGAAGACTTACTGATGACCTGAAGGATTTATAAATTTTGGAAATATTTTACTAGGTAAGAAATCTTTCTTACTTTTCAAAAATTTCAATTTTCAGATTTAAATGATAAATCTTTCTTATTTTTTTGATAGACGTGTGAAAACATCCTGCCCGAATGTCTTATGGATGACCCAAAGGACTTATACATTTGG